GTGTATGTTGTTATGTGCTGTGGAGTCGGTTCTAACTCATAGCGACCCTGTACAAAGTTTCCGAGGCTGTATATCTTTACAGGAGCAGATAGCCTCATCTTTCTCCAGTGGAACAGCTGGTAGTTTTGAACTGCTGGCCCTGAGGTTAGAAGCCCAATTTGTAACCACTACGCTACCAGAGCTCCTTACAAGAGGCTGTAGTAGGTAGTATAAAACAACTACTTTCCCACAGCTTTGAAAGACAAACCAGTACACTCAACACTGCTAGTAGAGAGAACAGTTAAGGATTTAACTGTGTGATAAAAATAAAAAGGTGATGTGTGTTCGGAGTACAGAGATTAGTATGGGCTATATAGGGTCGGAACCGACTCGACGGCACTTAACAACATAGAGGTCATGGAAGGAGCTCTGGTAGCGTAGTGGTTACGAATCGGGCTGCTAATCTCACAGTCAACTGTTCAAAACTACCAGCTATTCTGCTGGAAAAAGATGAGGCTTTCTGCTCCCGTAAAGATTTACAGCTTCGGAAACCCTCTACAGGGTCGCTGTGAGTCGGAACCGATTCCACGGCACATAACAACAGCAACAATAGAGGTCATGGGCGATTTTTATGAAGGTTACCTGGAAGTCACGGTGGGCAGGCCTGTTGGAGAAACAATATGGGCTGAAGCTATTGAGGGAAGAATGTCCCTGTGTAGTGTCTTCTGAGGTTTTCTGGCTCAGTAAAGTGTCTGCACCACTTTCCACCTCCTTTCTCAATCCAGAACCCTCGGAATTGCCTCTGGGTTTCCCCTTTCCATTTGTGTCTGTCACCAAGTCCTGTGGACTCCCCCTCCACCATCTCTTGATTTGATCACTTTTTTTCTCCTTCGTACTGTGTTCCTCCTCTAAGTTATGCATGTTTTCTTCCTGGACTCTGCTGAAGACTCCTAACTAGTCTGGCCTCAGTGCTTTAAATATAGATAGCCCTGACTCTTCCAGGAAAATCAGGCATTGCCATCCACTTTATGCTAGCTCATCATTAACATTGCCTTCCCGGACCTCCTAAACTTGGTTCGGGTTTCCTCCTATAGATGCCAGTAAGAACTTTTGTTTAGATAGCATTCAGCAACTTTTTAAATGACTTGTCTAATATTTCTGTTTCTCACTAGGCTGAAGGTTCTATGAGTGCAGGGACCACCTCTACTGCTATGTGAGGGGGCTTCACGAAGTTTGTGGGAAAATTCCATGATCTTTTCATTCCATTTTTCATGAATTTTTTTGAAGCACCTTTATATTTCCAGCCACTGGACATGCCTGTAGATGCTTCATCAATGTTTATAGAATTAATAGTAAGGAAAAACCTATGGTAAGAAATAAAGTTGAGCATGTGAGGATCAGAAATAGGTACAGTATAGTCTACAGGCCAAAGGTGTCTTTCAGGTTTTAGAAATAAAATGTTTTTGAAACACAGTCATAACCATTTATTTGTGTTTTATTTGTGGAGGTGTTTGTGTTCTACTGGCAGAGTTGAAGAGTAGTAACAAAGATTATGGTCTGCAGCGTAAAATGTTTGTTATGTGGCCTTGTATGGAAAACCATTACTGATCCTAGATCTAGATTATGGAAGTGTTGGTCTAGATTGCGGATGGGGAACTATTACAGGTTCTTATATACTTAACTGGAGTCCTGGTGTGGCACTGTGGGTTAATGCGCCAGACTGCAAAGCTGTTTGAACTGCAAGGTTGGTGGTTCAAGCTCACCAGCTGCTCCTCGGAAACCCTATACAGCATTGCTATGGGTCAGAACTGACTGGATAGCACTTAACAACAACATATGATTAAAGATGTGATCACAGTGATATTTTAGGAAAATCAGACTAGAATTAGTAAAAAGAATAGTTTATAGGAGTTAGGGGAGGGAAATGGAAAATTTTGCTCTTAATTTAAAACAGGTATAAGGTGTTTAGACAGGTGGTTAGTTGCAGTGAGAGCTATGAAGGGATGGAATCGTGAAGAAAGACAAGACTTCTCATCATATTGGATCAAGAAACCAAAAGAAAATGAAAGGAGCATCCCATTTCTGACGGCATGTTAGAGGCTTGAGCTGTTCAAAGGAAAGGTTGTTTTGGGAGAAAATATTTGGATGTGTTGAAATTTGAATGTGTTGACTTGGGAGTGAAGATGGGACTTTCAAGTTTTATATCAAGAGATGTATCCAGAGAGAATTCCGAGGTACAGTGAAAATATAACCAGTAATATAAAAGGTGGTCAAGGCTGTGAAAATCAAATGCTAAAGCATACATAGCATTGGGGGACAGTCACATAAGAGAAGGAAAAAGAAAATGAAATAGGAAAAGCAGTTCCTGTAAAGGCATAATAAAAAGGTACGACGGGAACTAGAGCAGTGTGACTTTGGGACAGTACCAATTCCAGGATGATACCACTATCAAAGGCAGGTCCGAGAAGAGGAGGACTGAAGAGAAGACCCCTGGATGTAGCAAGAAATAGTTCATTAGAGACTTTTCAGAGGACTAATTGTCAATGGAATGGGGGTAGAAGCTAGATTTTAGAGCCTTGCTAAAGAAATGGGTATCTAGAAGACCAAACACACACAACCATGCTTGATTGCAAGAGGGAGGAATAAAATAGTAGTCAAAAAAAAGTAAATCGGGTAAGTTTTACTTTGTTTTTGTTTTGTTCTTAAGCTGGGCAATCGTATTGCATAGTGAGTAGAAAAAGGTTTTTAAGGAATTACTCTGATAGTCAGGGAGGAGTACTACTAAACAATGGTGGAAGAAGATGGAATTTAGGGTATGTTGTTGTTGTTGTTAAATGCCATGGAGTCAGTACACTCAGTGACCTTGTATAAGCTTTCCTAGGAGCTGCTGGTGCAGTCTAGCATGTTAACCCACAGCTCCACACAAAAGAAATCATTTTCTTTTCTAAGAGCCTTAGGAAATTTTAGGAGACTAGGTAAAGTTGGCATTGATCTTTTCAGTTTATAAAACACTTTCAGCAATTGCAACATACAGAACAACTTGGTGCTGTCTTATTTTCATTTTACTAGTGAAAAACAAAGTTATTTGCCATTGGTCACACAACTATGGGTAGTGGAGGATGAATACAGGCTTCTAGGTTCCATGCTCATTTTACCAGAACATCTTTTCTGATGGGCAAGTGATACAATGAAATGAAAGTAGAGGAAGGGCCCACACTAAGTGGTCTTCATTTTGTGATAAGGTATCAGGCAAAACCAAAATACTGCAAATGTGGACCATAAGGCAAAGAAGAATTGGGACTTAAAGGAAGAATATTGGTATTCAACATTGTTTTGGATGACTTTGGGTTCTTTTCTCATAATTCAGAAAAGTCTTAATTTCATCATTGCACCTTCTTCTTTATCTATTAATGAACTTTTGTTTGACTTTATCACACCCTGACACCAATTCCATTTTATGCTTTAATTCTAGCAAAGTAGTTATTCACATAATAAAATCTGGTTGTTGGAATTATGACAGAGTGAAAATTATGCCATAGCCTTTGCTAATACTGACAGCTAGATTGATAACCAGTGCTTTGGCTTTGGGTACAAATAATGGTGTGAATGACTTTTTTCATTTGTATAATATTTTCCTTAGTTATCAGTGTATTGGCTTATCCACATTCTGGATGGGAAACATTTTGTAAGTGGAACATAATTAAATATTTAAAGTCTCTCAAATAATAGTTGATATTTAGATTTTTTTTTTTTCTTTTTTAAATCTCATTATCAAGGTTAAGCGAGATGAATCTGGAGCAATACATGTTACTAAGCAAAAGCATCTTCACCTGTATTATGACCTTATCAACTTTACTGTGAGTATTATTCAAAGTAAAGCTCTTCTTTTGTTTTTATGCTGTTGTTTTGACTCATAAGTTGAAACTAGCAGGGTTTTTGCCATGAACTGTGACATTTAGGATCATATAAAATATGGACAGATATGAAGTCCTGTGTATACTGATTCAAGGCTGAGTTTGGTGTAAGTCCACATACTTACTGCCTCTCGGCTTTCAATGTCCTGGTTAGATCAAAGGAGATCTGGGGGCCAGAAAAATTCTGGTGGATCTCTTTAGGATCATTGCCTTGCTTTATTATTATTATTATTTTTTGTATATTTCTGAGTTTATCTTAATTGTTTCAGGAGCACATATAACCTATTCTTTATTTGTTACTTAAAACTTTGCAAAGAGTTTTCTCTTTATTGTGCATATCAGTCCTGAATGCCTTCTTGGTTTGAAAAAGACGATTTCTTTTAGTATCAAATTTTAGTTTTTTCATGTTAGTTTTGAAGATATTGTTGTTGCTAAGTGCTCTTGAGTCAGTTCAGTTTTGAGGACTATAATTGAAATGTGTCTAGGTCTCTGTCGTTAATGGTTTTAGCAGATTGATATATCGAGGCATTTTATATATGCATAAATATGAAGAGCCTTTGTCATTAAGTTAATTCTGACTTGCATTTATAAAGGTCTAACCCTAGGTGGTACAGACAGTTAAGTTATTGACTCCTGGTGTGGTGCTGTAGGACCAGCACTGGACTGCTAACAACAAGCTTGGCAGTTCAAACCTATCAGCAGCTCCTTGGAAACTCTAGACAAGGATGCTGTGAGTTTACAACTGACTCAGTGGTACTTAACAACAACAACTAGCCAAAAGGCTAGTGGTTTGAACTCACCCAGAAGCACCACAGAATAAAGGGCTGGTGTTCTACTCCTGAAAGGTCCTAGCCTTGGAAACCCTATGGAGCAATTCTACTCTGTAAACATGGGGTCACCATGAATCAACTCAACAACAACTAACAGCCGCAGCCGCAGCCACAGCCACTTCAGGAATAATTGGTGGTGGTGTTAGGTGCCATCAAAATGGTGCCGTGACCCATAGTGATCCTGTCTACAACAGAACAAAACACCACCCAGTCCTGCGCTATCCTTATAATTGCTGCTATGCTTAAGCCCATTGTTGCTGTCACTGAGTCAATCCATCTCACTGGGAGTCTCCCTCTTTTTCACTGTCCTTCCACTTAACCAAGCATTATGTGTCCTTTTCCAAGGACTAGTCCCTCCTGATAATATGTGTGAAGTATGAGAGACAAAGTTTAGCCATTTTGGCTTCTAAGGAGCATTCTGGTTGTACTTCCTCCCACACAAATTAGTTTGTTTTTCTGGCAGTCCATGGTACCTTTAATATTCTTCGCCAACACCCTAACTCAAATGCATTAGTTCTTCTACATCTTACCTAATGCAATATGTCACTTGATTTCTTGACTGCTGTTTCCATTAATGTTGATGGTTGATGTGAGCAAAATGAAGTCTTTGACCATTACAATCTTTTCTCCATTTATTTGGATGTTGTTTATTGGTCTAGTGGTGAGGATTTTTGATTTCTCTACATTGAGGTACAACCCATACTGAAGGCTGTGATCTTTATCTTGATCAGTAAGTCCTCTTCACTTTGAGCAAGCAAGATTGTATCATCTGCATATCGCAGATTGTTAATGAGTCTTCCTCCAGTGCTTAATGCCATGCTTTTCTTCATATAATCCAGTTTCTTGGATTATTCGCTTAGCATTCAGATTGCATAATAATATGGTGAAAGACTCCCACCGTGGTGCACACCTTTTCTGATTTTAAACTATTTGATATACCCTTGTTCTGTTCAAACAACTGCCTCTTGTTATATTTACAGGTTCATTATGAGCATAATTAAGTGTTCTGAAATACACATTCTCTGCAGTGTTGTCAGTAGCTTGTCATGATCCATATAATTGAAAGCCTTTGCATAGTCAGTAAAGCACAAGTAAACGTCTTTCTGGTATTTTCTGCTTTCACTCAAGATCCATTTGACTTCAGCAGTGATACCTCTCATTCAACGTCCTCGTCTGTATCTGCCTTGAACCTCTCTGGCAGTTCCCTGTCAATGTACTGTTGCAGTTGTTTTTAAGTTGTCTTTAGTAAAATTTTACTTGAATGTGATATTAATGATACTGTCCGATGATTTCTACGTTCCGTTGGGTCACCTCTCTTTGGAATGGGCACAAATAAGGAGCTCTTCCAATCAGTTGGCTAAATTCCTTAGCATAGATGAGGGAGTGCCTACAGTGCTGCATCAGCTTGTTGAAAGATTTCAGTTTGTATTCCATCAATTCCTGGAGCCTTGTTCTTTGCCAGTGCCTTCAATGCACATTTTATTTATTCTTTCAGTGCCATTAGCTTTTTTTTTTTTTTTTTAAGTTTTTGTTGTTACAAGTGATAGTTTACATGGAAGAACATCAGTTTAACAGTCATCATATTTCATTTCATTGCATTGATTACAGTCCCCTCCATGCATCATCATTCAACATTATTTGCTTCTATTCCATCTGGTTTTTTGTTTGTTTGTTTTTTAATGTACACAAAAACAGCCAGGAATATATAATCATTTAAACAACCAAAGGGCACATTCTGCAAACCTGCCTCCTGGCCACCCACCCACAGCCTTTCTCTTTCCATGAGTCTGGAATCCTCAGCTGCTCTCTCTCTCCATGTCATCATCTTTGCTTTCATCCCTTCTTTGGATAGGGTCCCACATTCTGCTCGTGCTCTTCTTCCTTGATGGTCCTAGAGTACTCTGTTCCTGGAATGTAAGATTAACTGCTCTCCCCTTTTTGTTATAAAACGTCTACCTCTACAGTTGTGAGAATCACAATTAGTCATGATAACAGCTATTCACTATTGACTCATAAGAATCTTATCCCTATCTCCTTTCACCAGACCTGTCTAGACAAGGTGAAACTATTCAGTGGGGCTTTTACCTTTCCCCACACACTCTGAAACTAAACTCTATCTTGAAAACTTGTAAGCCAGTCACTTTGTGCCTTTATGGCTCCCCTGCCTCCACTGCCATTTTAGGTAGCCAATGTCTAACTTGCCCATCCCTATCAACCTTGTATACAGATGGGATAGGACTAATAACTTGATGTGAAGACTCCTTCCCTCTCAGTTGGTATTTTGAGCTACTACATCCGTAAGTATAGGTCACATTCATCAAATTGTAGCAATTTACACTTGCTTCCTTTATAAAAATACCTTTTTAAAAATCTTCCTCTAGTTGAGTTGTGATCATCAAGCTATCAAAGCTTGGTCAAATGGGTATTATCTGCAAGTTTGGACGTTCTTGTGCATCTCCCCTCCATATCAGCTGGACGCTTCACTCTCAGCTCTAGCCCTCCATGGCTATGTCCTTGTCCATGGGCTTAGGAGTCCCCAAGGCTCACCATACTTTGGACCAACCAGCCCTTCCTCTTCTCTCTCTCATCTCCAGGTTGACAGGTGTCTAGTGCCATTAGCTCTTGATCATCTGCTCTCTCTTGAAATGATTGAACATTGACCATTTCTTTTTGGTACAGTGTCTCTGTGTATTCCTTCCAATTTCTTTCTTTTTTTTTTTTTATGTTTTATTGCGAATTATGTGATAGTTTACATTGGAAAACATTAGTTTTACATTCATCCTATCATATATCGTTTCATTGCCATGGTTACAATCCCCTCCATGCATCATCAGCCAACCAAAGGGTATACCCTACAAGCCTGCCCCCCAGTCATCAGCACACAGCCCCTCTCCCTCTCTGTGTCTAAAGTCCCCAGCTGCTCCATCTCTCCATGTCATCATATCTGCCTCCATCTCAGGCATCACTGCTTCTCTGGGTAGGGTCCCACTCTCCGCTCTTCTCCCTTGATGATCCCAGGGACCTCCTTTCCTAGATCCCCTCCTTGCTACAAAACATCTACCTTTACATTTCCAACCCTCACTATCAGTCCGGATAACAATTATTCACTGTTGTATCACAAGAAACCTATCCGCATTTCCTTTCATCAGCCCCGCCTAGACAGATTGGATACTACTCAGTAGAGATTCTACCTTCCTCTACACCCTCTGGATCTAGGTTTCCTTTTGAAAGCTTGTAAGCCAATCACTTCTTGCCTTTTTAGCCCCTCACTTTGGGTAGCCAATGTCCAAGTTACCCATCCCTGTCTACTTTATGTATGGAAGGGGTGGGAATGATCCTTGCTGTAAAGATTTGTTCTCTATTTTGAGCTACTGCATCCATAGGTGTAGGGTGTAGGTCAAGTTTATCAAAATGTATCAGATTACTCTTTTTTTCCTCTTCTTTTTCTAGTTGAGCTGATTATCCAGTCATTGAAGCCAGGTCAGATGGGTATTATCTGCAAGCGTGGGTGTTCTTGTGCATATGTCCTCTCTTCTTATCAGCTGGATGCTTCACTCTCCACTCTAGTCCTCTGTGGCTATGCCACTGACTCTGGGCTGAAGAGTCCCCAAGTCTTGCCACACTGCTGGCCAACCATTTCTCCACCTGGGTTCACAGGAGTCTGTTGAATGTGGTAGGGATTAGCTTGCAGCTTCATTGCTGTTTTTCTTTTACTTCCCTTATCGGTGATGAACATAGTCACCAATCAGAGCGTGTATTCCCATTAAGTCTTAGTCTTGGAAGGGGGTTTGCTCTGAGGGGACCCGACGACTTGTCTTGATGTCTCCTGGGTAAGCAACTTGCTTGTTCTTGTAGTAATCAGTTAGTCTGCCTGTATTGTTTTGTATTTTTCCTTTCAAGTGGAAATTTCCCACCTCTGAAGATTCTGGAGGCTGTTCATGATTCCACCTATAGTCTTATGTAATGCAGAGGCTCTGCAGGAAGTCTCCTTCACTGGGCACGTTGTAGCCCCATTTTAGGTATTCCAATCAGTTATAGGCAGAAGACGGACTTACAAGTTTTCTATGGTGATATTTCTGGCTATTCCTTTCTCTCCCCCTCTAGTGTCTATTTTATAATATAATGCAAGGAAAACCAAGATTCATAAGACAGCCAAACATCTTAACATTGTTTCCCCTTTTTTCCCCATTCCTTCCAATTTCTTTTGATGCTTTCTGCATCATCCAATATTATCCCAAAAGTATCCTTCAGCATTACAAATCAAGGCTTGATTTTTTTCAAATTTTTCCAGCTTGAGACATGCTGGACGTGTTCTTCCCTTTTGGTTTTCTAACTCCAGATCTTTTGTACATTTTATTATAATATTTGACTTTGTCTGCTTTAGCTGTCCTTGGAAATTTCATGTTCCGGTCTTATACTTCATCATTTCTTCCATTTGCTTTAGCATCACTACAGTGGAGAGCAAGTTTCAGAGACTCTTCTGATAACCATTTTGGTCGTTTTTCCCACTAGTCCTTTATTAATGTTCTTCATTTTGTCATTCACTCCCTTTTAACCCATTGAGTTCTGAAAGCACTGATTAAAGTTTTACATGTCTCTGGTAGTGTAGTGGGTACAAATCGGGTTACAAATCGGGTTGCTAACCTTAAAGTCAGTAGTTCGAAACTGTCAGCTGATCTGCAGGGGGAAAGATGAGGCTTTTGTTGCCTGTAAAGATTTACAGCCTCAGAAACTCTACAGGGTCACTGTGAGTCGGAACTGACTGCCACCATAACCGTCACCACCACCACGTCACCACTTTGTTGTTGTTGTTATGTGCCCTGGAGTTGGTTCCAACTCATAGCAACCCTGTACAGGGTCTCCCAGACTGTAAATCTTTACGGGAGCATAAAGCCTCCTCTTTCTCCCGTGGAACAGCTGGTATTTTCGAACTTCTGACCTTGCGGTTCACAGCCCTATTCGTAACCACTATGCTATGTCTTTACTAAGTGTTAATTTATATTTCAAAGTACAGTAGTCAGAAGATGACCTTATATGAACTCCTCATAAAGATTTGTGTATTAGCTTTCTATTTAAAAATGAAATCATTTTTTGGAGGGAAAAAGAAGCCAATCTTTTTTTGTGTTGATCTTTAGCATGTGTTAAAAGAATGTTGATTCACTATTCGTTTTGTTGTCTTTTCTATATTTTATCATGTAGGTGATCTTTGATAGCATGGAATAAATAATTCACATAAAGTAGCATACAAACCAGAGAGAGAAGTACAGGGCAATGACTTGGGGCCGGGTATTTTAGAATTTTAATTGAGCAAGTAAATTGTAAGATTTCATTTATTTGTTGGGGGAGGGATTGAGATTTTTTTTTTCAGAAATATTTTGAAAATTAGAAATCTTATTTTATATGCAACCTATGGAATTTTTCAAAATGACATCCTTCAGAAGAATTTTTAATTATTAAATTAGTTCTTTTAAAATTACAGTGTTTCTGTTATTGTTGTTAAGTGCCATCCAGTTGGTTCCAACTCTTAGTGACCTTGTGTAGTATTTCCAGGGATCAACTAGTGGGTTTGAACCATTGACCATGCAGTAAGCAGTCCTGTGCTTATCCTACAGCACCACACCAGAACTCAAAAAAAACCCAAAAAAACCAAAAAGCAAAACAGTTATACTTACATACTTACTAAAAAATTTGAAAGATACTAAAAATAGAACAAAGAAATCTTCCATAATTTTTATAGAGGTTTTGAAGGAAATATTTAGTTTTAAAATGTTGTTGTTGAAGTTGTTGTCAAGTGCTGTCTAGTCGATTCTGACCCATTTCAACCCTGTATAGGGTTTCCAAGGAGCATCTGGTGAGCTTGAACTGCTGACCTTGCAGTTCAAGTGGCTTTGCAGTCTGGCGCATTAACCCACAGCACCACACCAGGACTCCAGTTTTAAAATAGCTTTTACTTTATCATATGTATTGGTTCAATGCTATCTGAATCTTTAACCAACTAGTTTTATGAAGTATGATTTGCCCTTTGTTTAATTAATTTAATGCAAAGCTTATTATTTTATTTAAACCATTTGTGTTAGTGCACCTTTAATTTTTTTTTTTTTTTTTATAAATCAGTATACTCTGTATTATATCTATTTTTGTTGTTGCTGTTAATTGCCTTCGAGTTGGTTCCCTGTATAGGGTTTCCAAGGCTTTAAATCTTATTGGGAGCAGAAAACCTTGTCTTTCTTCCTTGGAGCAGTTGTGGGCTCTAACTGTTGACCTTGTGGTTTGCAGTGCTTATCGTATGGAGCCACTGTGCTCCCCAATAGATCTAGTAAAGATAACATTTTTAGTGTTTATTTTTGATGAAAATAAGCAGAGCAAAACATGTATCCATTCAAGAATTTCTGCATATACAATTCAGTGACACTTGGTTACAGTCTTCTCAGTGTGTCGACAGACTCGTTACTTCTACTCAATATGAATGCTCTTAGTTAGCCTTCTACATGATGAGAGTGTCATTCTAACACTGTCAGGACTCAATGCTGTGTGTGTACCTACTGCCCTCTGGGCTGCTGCTGGCTAGTTCTTGCTGTGATTGTGTTGCCATTTAAATGATTAAATGGATAAGGTCCTCAGTGTCATGTAACGAATGACCAAGGTTTCTTCTTGTCCTGAATGGTGATGTGGGCTGGGCTTCACTTTGTTTTGTTATGTGCTTGAATTGCAGTGGATAAACTCACGCACAGTTGTGCTCTTGGACAGCGTGGAGAAGCTGCATGTGATTGATCGCCAGACTCAAGAGGAATTGGAAACAGTGGAAATCTCAGAAGTTCAGCTGGTCTATAATAGCAGCCATTTCAAATCATTAGCCACTGGAGGAAATGTTAGCCAGGCACTGGTAAGGAGAGTATTGTCATGGCATTGTGTTTGATAAACTTGGTGTCTTGTTGTTACAGAAGTAAGGAACTCTGGAAGATATTTTTGTGTCTTGAGGTGTTTCTTGAAGTGGGAATGAGTGTGTTTGTCACTATTCAGGAGTGTGAACTAAAACAATAATTCCTGCTGCTTTTGTCCAAAAATGGAACTAAACTCTTCCCTTGAAATCAAGCCCACTGCTGTCAAGTTAATTCTGATTCCTGATGACTCTATGCTGTTATTGTTAAGTGCCTTCAAGTCTGTTCTGACTCATAGCAACCCTTTTTAGGGTTTCCAAGGAGCAGCTGCTGGCTTTGAACTGGTACCATTGTGGTTTACAGTCCAGTGCTGATCCTACAGCACCACACCAGGAGTCCAAGGAAAATACTATGAATGGCTAATAAACCTATGAAAAATGTTAAGCATCATTAGTTAATGCTTTTGTGTTACAGTTAAGTGCCATTGAGTTGGTTCCAACTCAGCAACCCTGTATAGAGTTTCTGAGGAGCAGCTGCTGGGTTTGAACTACTAACACTGGGATTAACAGTCTATTGCTTATCCTATAATGCCACACCAACACTCCCATTATTTGTTGTTATTGTTGTAAAGTGTCATTGAGGAAGTTCCGACTCTTAGCAATCTTGTGTAGGGTTTCCAAGGAGCTGCTGGTGGGTTTGAACCGTTGACTTTGTGGTTCAAACTGACCTTGTAGTCCATTACTGATCCTTCAGCACCACAGCAGGATTTCCTTTAGTAGTCATTAGGGAAATGGGAACTTTAATCACAATAAATCCGATTCATGCTACAGTGGCTGTAATAAAAAAGACAGCTAGTATTAAGTATTGGCAAAGGTATGGAGAAACTAAAACTCTCAGATATTGTGGGTGGCAATGTAAAATATCAGGGTTTAAAACTTGTTTAAACCTAATCAGTGGCCAAAGTTTATAACCTAGATTTATCTGAGGATAAGTTTCTTTTCTATTTTGTCAGGTAATGCTATTCTGTGTTACATGTGAATATTTATTTGAAAGAACCTTTAGAAGTGCCATTTTCAGTTGACCCTATTCTTTTCTAGAAGCAATGGCTACCTGTCATCTAAGAATGGGCAGGTTGCAACAGTTTTTCCTTTTAACTTAAAATTTGGCATGTTTCTCCCTTTTTTCACATTATTCTGAAAAATAAAAAAGACCATGTGTAAGCAGAGAATTATTTTTTACACTTACGTTTTTTTTGCCACTTCCACTGTCAGACTGGTACTTGATTGACAACTTTTCTTCGCCCATTTATGGGATGAAACGAGACTGACTTAAAATGTTGTCTCTATAATTGACGTTCTTTAAAAACTTAATGAGATTTGTAATGCATGTAATTTTCACTTTGTTGATTTTTTTTTTTTTTTTTACAGGCTTTGGTTGGAGAGAAGGCTTGCTATCAGTCCATCAGTAGCTATGGTGGTCAGATCTTTTATTTGGGGACAAAAGTAAGCTTTCACTCTGTGACGCATATGTGTCTGTGTCAGGGTAGTTGTGGCTGAAGGAGTTTGTTGGTAAAGGTTGCTGTGTGTTGTGATGTAAACATTGATCGGCAGTAAGTCAAAACTCATAGAGGTTACACCAAAAACTCACTGCCATGGAGTCTGTTCTAAATCATAGCAACCTTACAGAACAGAGTAGAACTGTCCCCTGCCCCAAAGGGTTTTAGAAGGGATAAATCTTTATTTATGGAAGAAGATTGCCACATCTTTCTCCTACAAAGTGGCTGATGGGTCCAAACTAATGAACTTTTGGCTAGAATCTAAACCGTTAATGCTGTGCTACTGGAGCTCCTTAGGAACTAAACAGTTGTGATGTTTAGACATAGTTTTCCTTTTGTTTAGGTACTGGTAACAGAATGTCTATTTTATTGGCTCTGGGATATGATTTCCTGACTTTTCTTCACATTTATGTTTTTATGACCAGGAATATACCTTATCATGTATTATTGTTGTTGTTAAGTGCTGTGGAGTTGGTTCCTACCCATAGCGACCCTGTATAGAGTTTCCAAGGAATGGCTAATGAGCTTGAACCGCCGACTTTGCGGTTCAAACTGACCTTACAGTCCAGTGCATTATCCTGCAGCACCATACCAGGACTCCTTGTCATGTAATCAAGATGACTGTTAGCTTAGATCAGCTTATAAAAACAAAAAACCAAAAATCAGCCAGTTGCTGTTGAGTTGTTTCTGGCTTAAAGTGACCCCATGGGTGTCGGGTACAACTGCATTCCTTACCCTCTCAATGGCTATGACCTTTTGGAAACAGATCTCCAGGCCTTTCTTCTGAAGCTTGTCTGGGTAGACTGGAACCACTAACCTTTCAGTTAGTAGCCAATTACTGAACTGTACTGTACCATCCAGATGACCTAAGATCAGCTTTGTTGCTGTTGTTAAGTGCCATCAGTTTCCATCAGCTTAGTAGATACATTAAAATGCATTGAGACCCCAGTGGCTCCATTTCCAACCAAGCAATAGAGGTGTGTAGGAGGGACAACAACACTAGTGAGGTATGCACACTATAGGCAGCCGTTTAAGAGCAAAAGGACAACATTTACCTAAGGACAAAATTCAGAAGGGTTGGAAAAGTAAGGTTGGATGGAAACAAGAATCATAGGGAGGAATTGGGGTAACTATTATTACATGGAGGGAATGACAGTAGTTACAGTGAAATGAAGTATATGATTTGTTGAAATTTGAAACTCATGATTAACTCTGTAAATTGTCACTCAATTCACAATAAAAACATTGTTTTGTAAAGTGCATTGAGGCATTTGATTTAGAATAGAATTTCTGGAATAGGAACTTTTTGTATATTTTGAATTTTATTTTAAGCCTAATGCTAAGAAATGTTTCTTTATTATTAACATTGAACTAAAATATTACCAAGTCATTACTAGGAGATGAACTTGGCCTTTCCTTTTTCTTATCCATGAAATCAATTTCTTTTGAACTATGTAATTACTAGTCTTTAAATGCTTCATTGATTTACTCTTAAAGTGGCTCCTAAAGACCTTTTATTAAACTTTAAGCTATATTTCTAACTATTGTTGTTGTTAAATGCCATCCAGTCAGTTCTGACCCATAGTTACCCTGTTTATGGTTTCCAAGGAGCAGCTGGTGGGCTTGAACCACCGACATTGTGGTTCAAACCTACTTTGCAGTCCAGCACATTATCCTGCAGCGCCACACCGGGACTTCATTTCTGACTATAGAGTGAAATATTTTTATTTAGACTGTACAGATAGGATGTAGGAGAGTGAGACTAATGAGTCTTCCAAACAAGTTAGTTTCTTTCTTTTTATTTTCCAGTCTGTTTATGTGATGATGCTGAGGAGCTGGAGAGAGGTAAGTTCAAAGTAATTTTATATGTGAGAGCTGCCAAGTTGATAACATGGTCACGTTTGTGCTTTGACTTTTCAGGAGAAGAAAAAAAAAGATAATTTTGTGCTTCTTGGTTTCAGAGGTGTACATCAAAATCATTCAAGCTTTTAGGCACTTGATTTGATAAAACTGATTGTATAGGTTAGCATTAGGTTTGACTGCATAGATTAGAAAATTAAAGATAACAGTGCCTTAAACATAATTTCACTCTAATATAAAGGCAATCTGAAAGTAGGCAGCCTGTGGCTAATCTGACAGCTCCATGCTGCTTAGTGAGTGTACTATCTTGTTCCATTATCCTTGTGTGTGAATTCTAGTTGCAAGGTCATTTTATGGTACAATATAACTACTAGAGTACCAGCAAGAAATAACTAGAAATAGACTTATCCTCTCCCTGTTAAGGTGACATCCCAGACATGTCAGATACACTTATCATTGGCCAGAACTTTGTCACATTGGCTAGATTGGTTAAAAGGAGTCTTAGATATGTCCATTTGCTGGTCATATCTCAAATAATATTGGGATTCACTACTAAGGAGGAAGGAGTGATTGGATATTGTGGTAAACACCAAGTTGTTTCTGCTTGGTGTTCCCCCTTTTCATATTTAAGCCCTATGGTTGCCTATACTAGCCTTCTATGTAGTCTGTTGCTTCAAGAAGTTGCATTTGGGAATAAGTATTCACGTTTTTATTAGACTAATATTAAGCTACTAGACGGCAACTTCTGGAAAAGTATTAGGTAGGATAGGGTTTCTGATTGGTGTTGGTCAGGTAAAAGAGTCTGGCTTCTCTCATTTATTTATTTTAGAGAGTAGATCATCTCCTGAAGCAAGATTGTCTTACGGAAGCCTTGGCTTTGGCATGGTCTTTCCATGAAGGAAAAGCAAAAGCTGTAGTGGGTAAGTTAACAGATTCCAGTGTGTTAGAGGTCGTCTTTTTGGAGCAGAGACAATGAATCCTACAAATCATTCATAGAACACTTGATGTTCATGTATTTTATAAACACACCTTACAGACTTTCAGTGATGGAGGTTAGTGATCAGACCAGAGTATAAAACTTAAAATGTTCTATATTCTTTAACTTTACTTTAATTCTTTAATTTCACACAGAAAATTTGCTGTGTGAACAAAAGAGAAATACACTGATATGCTATCATGTCCACTATGCACATGTAAGGTACTTTCTATTACAGCATATCATCATATATTTTGATAACTAAGCCAAAAAGCAAACTAAACCCATTGCTGTCGAGTTGCGCTACCTCGTAGGCAGAGTTGAACTGCTCCTTAGGGTTTCTGAGACTAAATCTTTATGGGACCATATTACCTTATCTTTGTCCTGTGCCATGGCTGGTGGGTTTGAAGCCCTGACCTTGCTGTCAGAAACCCAGCGTTTAACTTCTGTGCTGGATTGTTATAATTTTATCTGTTAGCCTAAATTGTGAGCAGAGCAGTTTTGCTCCTGCAGATGTGAGTTAACTTTGTTTTCTGATGGATTTTCCTTATCTCCAGGATTATCAGGGGATGCCAGTAAGCGAAAAGCTGTTGTTGCAGATCGGGTAAGTTTGTAATGGAATCTTTTCCGGAGTAAAATACAGACTTGCCTTTGCTATTTGCTAATACCTTTGGGCATGGTTAGATATGTGACTACAGAGAGGACATTTAACAGTCAGTTTATACCTCCCTGGTGTTACAGTGAATGCTTTTTAAATTCCTTCATAGCTATTCTTTTCTTTGTTGTTCAATATTTTATGATGATGATAAGGTAATAAAATAGCCAAAAGACTGGCAGCAGAAAGGAGGAAAAGCCAGGAATCTGGATTATTTCCAAACAAATTATGTTGTTGTTGTATGCCATCGAGTCAGTTCCAAATCGTAGCAACCCTGTGTAAGGTTTTGAGAGCCGCTGGTGGGTTTGAAATGCTGACCTTGTGGTAGCCAGTCCAGTGCTTATCCTACAGAGCCACACCAGGGCTCAAACTAATTATAGCCCATAAAAAGTTGAAATTTAATAATTTTTATAAACTGATTACTAAGTATAAATAAAATATATGAGGACGCTTAAAAAAGTTTATGGAAAAATTAAATGAAAAGATAACGGAAAATTTCCACAACTTTCTGAAGCCCCTTGGTTTGTGCAGATATTTTTGCTGTTTGAGGTAACAGAAAGGATTAATACAGAGACTACTGAAGATTTTTAATTTTTAATTTCCTAGGCAATTTAGTTACCATATATATTATAATCTAGAACCTGGGAATGTCTTAGGAAAAATGAACAAATTAGAACTAGCCCAGAGGCTGAAAGAAATTAAGGTGGAATTAAAAAAAAATTAGAAAAGAAAGCCACAAAATTGAAATCCTATTTTGAATATAATAAAACCTGATTCTGTATTATTTGGGGTTGCTATGAGTCGGTTTTGACTCGATGGCACCTGACAACAACAACAACAAACCACTGTCTTGGGGTGGCAGAGCTGGATGATGCACTGTACCGCAAGGTCAGTTTGCTTTGTAAGGTTAGCATCTCAGACCTACCAGCTGCTCCTCAGAAACCCTATACAGGGTCACTATGAATTAGAATTAACTCTAAGGCACTTAACAACAACAAAAACCACTGTAATATATTTAATTTTGGAAAACTTTGAAAATATATTTTAATTTCTATGCAAATCTCTTTTCCTTACAGATGGTTGAAATCCTATTCCATTATACAGATCGAGCTCTGAAAAAATGTCCAGACCAGGGAAAAATCCAAGTGATGGAGCAACACTTTCAGGTACAACTTTGGTATTGTATAGTCTTTTGTATTCCTTTTATATCACATGGGACAGCCTTGTTTTGTATAGATATTTTTCAGTACACAGCATTTTATTTCAGAACTTATTGTTGTTAAGTGCCGTCGAGTCAATTCTGACCCATAGCGACCCTGTATAGGGTTTCCAAGGAGCAGCTGATGAGCTTGAACCACTGACCTTGCAGTTCAAATGACTTGCAGTCTGACATATTAGCCCACAGAGCCACACCAGGACTCTAAAAATCATTTAGAGCCTGCCAAATGATTTGATGTTTGAGCAACAAGTGGTTAGTCTCATGAGAACAGGATGTAAGATGTTGTGGAATGTTACATGTGCTGTTTGATGCTGTGTGGAAGGAGAAGATTTGTATAGGAGGACACAGACCTATAAAGTGACACTTTACTGTGGGAACCCTGGGGTGGCGCTGTGGGTTAATATGCCAGATTACAAAGCCATTTGAACTGCAAGGTTAGTGGTTCAAGCTCACCAGCTGCTCCTCAGAAACCCTATACAGGGTCAGTGTGGGTTGGAACTGACTTAATGGCATTTAACAACAACAACAACAGGTTACCAGCTAGTTGGAGGAGCAGTGTACTACTGAGGTTTTAATTTAGCCTCTCCCAGGAGCAATTGTGACTCAGTAATGCATCAGGTACAAAAAATGTGATCTCTAAACTATGCTAATGAAAGAACTTTCATTTATCTTGGAACTCAATCAGAATGAAAGCCACTGAATGGTTTAAAGACTTGTGAAGGATTATGTGTGTTTTTCTATTTGCAGTCATTTCCAATTATATTTGCTACAAGTCTGTTTTCCCTGCTTATTCCTAGAATCTTCTCTTACCTTTCAACAATACTTGATTGTCTAATATAGGAGTCAACAAACTTTTTCTAAAAAAGGTCAAATGGTACAACCCTTTAGAAATATAAACATGATTCCTTTTTTTATTTTTGACCCTGGTAAACATGATTCTTATCTTGTGGGCCATACAGAAAGAGGTTAATATGTACCAGATCTAAATATGTGCCAGGCATTGGGCAGTAGTGAGTAAAATACACATGGTCCTTATGATCTTAAAGTTTATACTCCAGGTACCATAATGTTTCTTGTGTGCATCAGATGAACTTGTTTAAAAGAAATCTAGGGATTTTGAAGTTCTACAGAGCAGCACAGGCCATAATTGTTCTTTCATCTCCCTTTGATACCCATGGCTGTGGCAGACAAGGAGAGATATGGCAAGGAGTAATTGGATGATATCAGAGGATAAGTTCGTTTCCTTAGCTGCACTCTTTAATGCCATAGTGTACTGAGCTTCTGGAAGAGTATCTTTTGTTACTTTGTTTGGAAGGAGGCTCATTAAATTTATCAGTAGAAAATGAGAACTAAGCCCAGATAAAATGATAAAAATATTGGAAGAAAACATGTAGAAGAAAGAGCATTTGAAAACAACACTTTTGGGGAGCAATGCCCACGTGTGTAAATATTTTTGTGTACCAATCAATACTGATAGAGTGCAGATGCAAAGACAACTTAACATTTTAACATGAGAATACCAATCACCAGGAGATGGTGCTGTGGTATTTATGGCAGAACTTTGTCTATTGTTGAAAAGAAATATCCAACAGGGATTTTTTGGGAGGAGCTAAGGGTGTGAAGGTCCTGGTGTGGTGCTGTAGACTAAGCAATGGACTGGTAACCGAAAGGTTAGCATTCCAAAAACATAGCCAGTCCTTGGAAACCCTATACAGGGTCACTATGAGTTGGAACTGACTAGACGACAGTTAACAACAACAGCAAGGGGGTGTGGTATGTGTTAATGAGTGAGCCAGTGAGTTATTTAGTGAGTGAATTAGTAAATTATAGAAACCACCATGCTAGAGGAAACAGGGTAGAAAGCTTTTGGAGTTATTTGCAAAAGAAAATAGGAACAAAAGTAGTGTTCTGATGAAGAAATACTTAAGTATCTCAGCAGATACTGATTACAAAACTTACAGAAAAATTGTAGGAGTAACGTGTTTTTAACCATCTAAATATCTACTATAAATCTCATTCTGCTAAAAAAAAAAATCGAATAAAATTTTTTATTGGGTTTACTATTGCATTTGTATCATAGGAGGTGCTGAAATCATGTCTGACTTTCTCTGGCTTCACAAGGGGGAAAGAGAATTAAACTCAGAATTAGCTCAAAGCCGATTTTGAAGCCGAGGTCTGACATGCTTCCACCCTACAACCTTCTTTACCCGATTCTGACACCAACCATCTCTCTCACAGCACTCTCTGCTTCACATTTGTGTTCGACAGTCCATTGCAATGGCTACACAGAACTCATAACAATACTCACAATTATGGGATTCATTAGGGAAGTGAACAGTGTATAACTCAGGATCAAAATCAACTTAGGATGCAGTAGTTCTCCAGTTAGAATGCCTCTTGTCTTCCATATTGCAGGCATACCTCACTATTGTTTTCAGTCTCTCATTTTTGTCTTCAGCCTCTCGGCCACATAGTTCCTTGGCCTCTGCACTCCTTGGACAAGTGTTACAAATTTCTTTTAGTCTGTGAATGCTCAAAGGGCACATTCTTCAAGCTGTCTTCTGCCCGTAGGTACTCAGCTTTACTCAGTCCGTGGGTTTGGTGCCTGAAGCTGCTCTGTCTCTCCATGCTACCACCTCTGCCATTGCCTTTGCCATGGTTGTTTCTCTAGGTAGGGATCTCATGTATCATTCATGCTCTTACTGCTACTCGATGGTCCTGGGATCTTATGTTTCTGCTTTTGAGATTGTTGTTAAGTGCCATCGAGTCAGTTTCAACTCATATCAACCCTGTATAGGGTTTCTAAGGAACAGGCTTCCTTGTGGTCCATAGTCCAGTGCTGATGCTACAGTGCCACATCAGCTGGAGGGCAAAACTAGCCACTCCCAGCCTTAGAGTCCTGTATACTTTATTTGCATGATCCCACCCAATTACTTGTTGAGAATTAAGACTTTGGATAGAAAAGCCATGTCAGGTAAATTCAAGGCACCATAGGATGTAAAGGAAACAATGGTAGGAGCCATTATTTTATTGATTTATTTTTTTCATCAATAATTGGGAAAATAGAAGGGATAAATTCTTAAGAGAAAAATTATTTTAAGGATTGTAATAATGATGAAAAATAAACTAATAAACTAAATAGGAATCCTGTGTTTTAAAAAAGCAGTTATTTCAGAAAAAGTATAAACCAGAGTGTGTTCACAAAGAACAGGAAATTCTTAAATTTTGAAATCATAACCACAAACAAGGATATAGGAAAGGTGGAGGAATGTTGAGAAATGTATCTGCCTGCAGTGCAAAAGCAAACGATGACTCAGACTGTTACAGAGCATAGAAAAGGAAGGAAAACTCCCGAATATATCTTATGAAACAAGCATAACCCTCATACCAAAATCAGGCAAAGACATTACTAAAAAAGAAAAGTAAAGACCAATAGCCCTCATGAAATAGATGCAAACTTCTCAACAAAATCCTAGCCAGCAGCATTCAGCAACATATCAAAAAGATATCAAGACCAAGTGGGATTAATACTAGGCTGCAAGTATGCTTGAATATTAGAAAAACAGTCACTGTAATCTACCATGTAATTAGGACAAAGGTAAAGAACAACGTGATAATATTGATTGATACAGAAAAGGCATTTGACAAAAATCCAACATCCATTCTTGATAAAAATACTCAATAAAATAGGAATTAAATTTCTTCAACATGATTAAGAGCATCTATACAAATCCATCATCAGACAATTACTCTTGAGTGGAAAGAAACTGAAAGCATTCCCTTTGCTAACAGGAACCAGACAAGTCACCACTCAAATTCAATATTGTGGTGGAAGTCTTAGCCAGAGCTATAAGAAAAGAATGGGAAGGAAATTCAAGGGATCTAAATTGGCAAAGAAGAAGTAAAACTCTGTTTGTAGATGATACGATCCTATACATAGAAAATCCAGAAGACTCAGCAAGAAAATTATTGGAACTCTTTGAAAGATTCAGGAAAGTAGCAGGGTACAAGAGCAATATATAAAAATCAGTTGAATTACACTATACTAATAAAAACAGCTCTGAAAACGAAATTAGGAAAACACTAGCGTAATAGCCACCAAAAGATGAAATACTTAGGAGTAAATCTAACCAGAGAAATAAAAGATGTATACAAAGAAAACTACAAAACACTACAAGGATACCAAAAGAGACTTACAAAAATGGAAGAATATATTATGCTCATGGATAGGAAGACATGTGAAAATGCCAATACTATCCAAAGCAATCTATAGATACAACACAATCCCAACCCAGATTCCAACATCATTATTTGAAGAGATGTAAAAACTGATCACAAACTTTATATGGAAAGGAAAGAGACCTCAGAAAAACAAAGCACAGCTTAAGAAGAACAAAGTTGGCGGTCTCTCACTTCTTGACCTCAAAATTTAGTACACGGCCACAGTGGTCAAAAGAACCTGATACTGGTACAATGAAAGGTACATAAGTCAATAGAACAGAATTGAGAAACAGAAGTGAGTCCAACCACATATAGTCAATCTTTGATAACATGCCAAAACATATTAAATGGGGAAGAGATCATCTTTGCAACAAATGGTGCTGGCAAAACTGGAAATTCATTTGTAGAGGAATGAAATAAGACCCGCATCTCACACCATATACAAAACAAACTCAGCGTGGATTAATGATCTAAATGTAAAACCTAAAGAGCATCAATGAAGAACTAGGGACAAACTTAGAGGCTCTAATACATGGCATATGTACACTATCAAATATTACTAAAAATACACAAAGAGTAGGAGACAAAATAGAGGACTTGGACTTCCTAAACATCAGCATGTACGTGCATCAAAAGATTTCACCAAGAGAGTAAAAAGGGAGCCCACACACTAAGAAAAACTTTTTTGCAATAACATATTAGACAAGGAACTAATCTCTAAATTTT